AAACTTTCTTTTTAAATGGCCGAAAATCCATGCGCGTGTAGATGTCATCCATATAATCAAATCAACATGGCCTTACTGGAAACAAACAAAACACCAACCTCCTCAAAACACCCCTCCATGGGTTTGTAGGCCAGTAGGGTGACAGATCTCATGAGGTCTCCCACCAGGATGAAGTCACCTTTAGTCTTCAGGTACAGGGCCAGGATGTTGTTATAGTGGTTACACTCTACACGCAGCTCTTTCTCAGCTGTCCACTCAAACAAACGCACCTGGAATATAGAAATCTCAGACTTAGAGCCCATCAGTAGTAGTAGTGATGATGGTAGCACTCTAAGTCTGGTGTTGTGGCCGTACGCAACATCTACATGTAGTGTGGTTAATCAGCCCTATCTTTGCATAGCAGTCCCGACCAAAGTTGGGACACAGTGAATTCACTTTATTATTGATTCAGTATATACATATAGAATACAACACGGGGTATTCCGTATCGCCCGAGGTATCGGCGACGCCGCAGGCCGGAGGGCGATCCGACTCGCGGGAGGGCCGGGACCGAGGGCGATGCGGAATACACCGTGTTGTATTTTATTTATATCATACCCACCCAAGAAAACGCGCCTTTCAATGCAATATGAGCCAAAACTTGGTGCCCCTAAACCCTCAAATGCAACAACATCAGTTCCAACGTCCGGATTCTGTATTCGAATTTTCGAAAGGGGCACACGTGGTTAGGGCGAAACGCATTCAAATCGTTTTATGGAAGCCATGGAAGCGTTCGATAACGGGTTCCGGACCGGGCCGTACCGTAAAGTACAGCCCGGTCCGGAACCCGTTATCGAACGTTATCGCGGCCCGGGTATGATATCAAATGTAGTATATGGTAGGTTGGGGAAAACTGGTCAGACTGTTCCCGAACTTCAGCCAACCTTGGTTGGTGTTCAGGGGAAGGTTCTGAATGTGTGACTGGAGGTTAAGGGAAGACTTAGTATTTGGGGTTTACACTGAGAAATGCTGTATTGATGAAGTCTCTCATTCTCATATAATAACACTGAACCATCCATTCATTGTATTATACACATTGCACAACATAAGTGCATGTGCATGTAGTACATGTATGTGCAGAGCAGTACCATGTAAATGTAGTCTAGGAGGGTCTGTGCTGTACCTACCAACTTGATAAGTTAACATTGAGTGAGCTCAACACCTACCGTACTGTTGATGCTGGCTAGCAGCTTGTTGTTGAACTGTACTAATGAGTACAACACCTACCGTACTGTTGATGCTGACTAGCAGCTTGTTGTTGAACAGTACTAATGAGTACAACACCTACCGTACTGTTGATGCTGGCTAGCAGCTTGTTGTTAAACTGTACTAATGAGTACAACACCTACTGTACTGTTGATGCTGGCTACAGTACAGATCTCGGGATAAGCATCAAGTCCCGCGGGAGATCCCGCGGGAGTTTGCGGGATATCACGCGGGAGTTTGCGGGATCTCCCGCGGGAGTTTGCGGGATCTCCTGCGGGAGTTTGCGGGATCTCCTGCGGGATTTATCGGGATATCCCGCGGTACGAAATCCTCTCCCGCAACCCCGATCTTCGGTGTGAGACTTTAGGTTTCCGAAGGGCCGGCGCCGCTGT